AATAACGACAGTGCTAAGAAGTCTGTGCACATCTGCTTCCTCGCACCGAAAGAAGTTCAAGGGGCTTTGTCGTCAGAATTTTACGCATGCAAGCCTGCTGCTAAATGTCCCCCCCCCGCAAGTCATTTGAAAACGCTGATCAACCTACTCACCTTGTACGTCGCCAAATCTTCTTCACTCTTGCAATATCCACCTATATAAGCAAGCCCACTGAGAGCTGCATCCCAAGGAACGTACTCCTGAATTCTCCATTGTATTCACCAACAAGCTACATCATCAGGATGGGTGAAATGGTGGTGTCAGACGACTCCCCTTCTCATCAGATTCCTTTCGACGGCTAACCAGTCAGGGCACATCAATGCTTGGGGATTTTAGTCCATTCCGTACGACCCCTTTTTTGCCTTCTTTGGGGGTTGGTACGACCCCCCCCCCTCCGGCCCTCTGTCCCTCCTCATCGAATCGAGCCGTCGAGCGAGGACGGGGGGGGGAGATATAGTACGCATGAAACAGGAAAATCACGAAAAGTCAACCACCACTCCCACCACTCCTGAAAGGCCAAAAATTGAATATTTCCCCTTCCTCCCTCCCAACAATGAACAAGTGCTACCCAGCCCAAATACAACCCCCTCCCCTCTCCTGGCGGCCAAATACGACCCCTCTGTTGGGGATTCCCTAACAATGATGTGGCCTGTGACCAATTCCTCAGTATGTTAAAAAGATAAAGTCTTCGCCGTTGATCAATCCCTCTGTGGGATGCGGCTACGCATTATAGACTACTACTTCATTTCAGAATCGTAGTGGCTTATTGAATGCGATGAATGCGATGTGGCCTATACAATGACTTGCGGTGGCCAGCCGATGTACAAGTCAGTGTTTTATCCTCCCAGACGAATCTGGTACCAATTTACCGTCCCCGGAGGGTAGAATGCTTGGTTGACCAGGCCACATCGCATTCAATAAGCCACTACGATTCTGAATGGGAGTAGAATGCGTGCCGCATCCCACAGAGGGTTGGCCTGAGGGGGTCGATCCGGGATTTGAACCCGGCGCCGCGCGAGTGGTAAGCGCGCCACTTGTCGCTACACCACCTCCGCCTCAATATGTTATACACATGGAACGGGAAAACCACGGAAAGGACTTTCCCTCCCAAAACCGAAGACCTCCCCCTTGATGGGATTCTCCCAACGATGCAATACCCTGTTAACCAAGCTGTGTTTAATCGTTCTTTAGAATAACGTACTTTTTCGTGCTTCAGGTATTTGAGGAGGTCGAGCACTGTAGCATAAGGAACTTGGTCTATATCGGCAGCAGCGAAAGCGTCACTAATAATGGCGTTTCTTGTACGAGATGTATAAATCTAAAATGACGGGGGTTAGGTTAGGCGTCTACAACCCTTCGAATTATCTATATCCCAACAAAAGTACTTTCTAGAAAAACTTTTTTCGGGACCATTGAGAATTAACTGCACACCCATACGTGATGGTTCCGCAGTTGAAATAGTGAGCGAATTTTTCCGCTCATTAATTCAAATATGCACAAGAACGGGACTGGAAGGTAGCGATATCCGAGTGCCCTCTCCATAGTCTGTCGCACGGTCAGCCGCACGCCTCTACATAGCAAGACCTACGTTAACGACATCCAGCATCACTACCCTCCAGCCTGCTTCCGTGCACGTCCTTAGAGGAGAAAGTGGCACTCTGCCTCCCTAAGGACCCAATCACCTCGCACATGGAAAGGACGTTGTCCACTTTGTCTTTGGGGAATGCAGAATTCTCGTTGTTGTTCTTATGAGGCTACGCGATCTTCAAAAAAACTTAACACTTTCAAGGTACTCCGCTTGCGACAGCGTCCACTAGCGCTTCGGTAGCGTGAGCGAGTGAGAAACTATTGGTATCGACGATCCAGCGTCTGCCAGCGTCTCGATGGTGTGGAAAGCACAGGTATCGATCTAGCGTATACAACTGTGTGCCAGCCTGCACCAGCGTCTCCCAAGCGTCCGGGAGAGCATGGGGCATTAGTAGTGTAGAAGGTATGGTGGAGTATGGAAAGATATTAGGTTGTTCGGAAAGAAATGCGCGTTGAAGCGCGTTGAATTTGTCCATTTATTTCTCTCCTACTATAGAAGATTTTTCAAAACAGTTTTGTCTATTAGAAAGAGATTTTTATTGTGCATCTTTTGATATATTTTTGTCTATGTCTACTTTGCTTTTTTTGGGAAAAAAAGTTGGGAAGAGCGGGTGCCGCACCAGCTGAGCGACGCAAACAAGGCAACACGAGTGGCAATGGCCGGAATTCTTCTTCGTCGCTCCAAGAACAGCGGTTTCTTCGACTCTATTGTTACATCAGATGAGACATGGATCTGCTACGACAACGCAACGCGAAAAAGACAGTGGTTAGACGCCGGTGACACTCCAAAACTCCGAAACGCGGATATACAGGCAAATGGATGCTCTGTGTTTGGTGAAGCAAGGCTGGGTGAGTTGACAGTTCTGCACTTCCGGGTCACCAGTTCCGCGCGCGACATCTAACAAAAAACCAGTTGAACCCAAAGCGGTTCAAGTAACTCGCGTCGTCAAGACCGTGTCGCAAATGACGTCGCACCAAAGTCGTTCCATCCACCGACAACGCCTCGCCACCCTGCGCGAAAATCACCTTCTGGACGAAAAACATTAGGAATTGGGCTCCCTCGGGACAGTCCTGCTTCATCACCGGCCGTCCAGCCCAGACCCTGCACCATCCGCAATTACAACCTGATCCCGCGGACCGATCAGCACTCCCTGGCCGAGAGAAAGTTCACAAACCGCGAAGAAGTCCAACTCTGGGTGTCCGACTACTTTGAGCCGGCCGAGTTCTTCGAAAAAGGAATCCATTCTTTGCATAAACGTTGGCAACAAGTTATTGATAGTGATGGAGATTATCTTTTGAATTGATTTAATTTCTTTAATTTTATAATATATAAAATTTTTTAAGTCAAACCTGCCATTTTCTTGTCGAACAACCTAATAGAAAGGTGGCAGACTGCTTCTTGCGGCGCGAAAGGTGACACCAGCTCTCTGCCCAGGGCACATTATTGCTTGGGGATTTTAGTCGAGTTCGTACCACCCCCTTCCCCCTTCTGCCCTCTGTCCCTCCTCATCGAATCGAACCGTTTGAGCGGGGGAGGGGTAGGGAGGGGAGGGATAGAGGGGTATATATTAGCAGTGAACCAGACACACAATTCCACAACCACAGAAAATTACGCACTGCTCCTACAGCCAAAACTTATATTCACCCCGCGCCCCGCATTCCTCCTCTTGCATGACCAAGTACGACCCCCCCCCCCTAAACGTCCGTTAAGCGAAGAAAAAAGCCATATCAAATAAATTCTTTCGCCAGCCTAAATATGGACCGCCCTCTTCCTGCTGCCGAATAGCGACCCCCCCAGCGGGGATTCCAACAACGATGTACGGCCTGTGCTCTGCTATACCTTTATCGGCGCCAATACCTCCTCTCCTTGGACGCCTTTTGGGAGACACTGTGCATGCTGCGACAGTCGCCTGGGAGACGTTTCGAACACCCCACCTTCCCGGCCTTTCGAGGACACTGGGTAGACGTTTGCAGACGCTAGACCATATCTATACTTTCCTAGTCGCTGACTCTGCCGGACGCTAGGAACGCTTAAGGACGCTGCTGCAAACTATGAACGCGACTTCTTCTGAAAGAGATTCTATTTGAGTTTGTTGCGACAAATCATGCTTCACAGTAATTAATGTATCAGTAAACTAGATCACCCTATGGTCCTCCATAAGCTGTCTCGCAATTTTCCTCCAGCCATGTTCGTCGTAATTTTGTCTGAAGAAACCATGACGTCCAGCGTTCACCACGATTGGATCTCGCATAGTATCCGCAGTAATGTAAAGTGGTCTATCTGAGAAAACCGAATAATGATTTCTGAGTCATTTTTGTGCACAGCCTATCAATGGCGGATTTTTTCGACAACATAAGTCTGCTCTATAGCCTTATTCAGCTTTCAGCTTATCATACACTGAAAAATCTCGAGATACCATCGGAAAACTAGACTGCAGCTTTGGCAGGAACATAAATATGAAGTCCCACACCCATTATCTCAAGTGCTCTGATGGGTTTGGGTTTCGAGAGCGAAAACTGTACGTCAAGGGCTCGCATGAACGCACGGCCTAGATGTTCTACCCCATACTCCACCGAGAAGAGGCACTTGCGACGCGCACGCGGCGTGTGCTCGGTGTCGTCCTAGCGACAGCGCGGCGGAAGGGTTCAATGCTCAGCGCTCGATATGTGAGAGGACAATTGTAACCGGCGAGTAAGAATGGCAGGCGATGTCGCCCACCGCGTACGCCAGTTGGGCAGTTCGCAGTCGAATATAGGATGATCCCACGTCAATTTCCCACTCTAGTAGAATATCTGAACAGGAAAGATCACAAGTTAGGGATGTGAGCCTTCCTGTCGTTGTGGGACATCTTAAACTCACTCTCGTGGATACTGGTCCTTGCCGTGTGCCGCAGATCCAGCGGCGTGCCCCTTCCTGCGGTCAAAAATGCACGCGCACGCGAAGGGTAAGGGTTAACATAGTCAGCCCGCGCTGCCGCACGGCCAGCCACACGCCCAGCCCCATAGCCGGAGGCCCTACTTGCAAAGCACATCATTAGTTGGGAATTTTGGTCAAGTCCGTATGACCACCGGTATGACTCTCTTTTTTTTCGGTTGTTGGTACGAATCCCCCGATCCCTTGTTCCTCTCATCGAGCTGTCGAGCGGGGGGGGGGGGGCCAGGACATCCTCACCTCTTTTAAATGTTGAACACACCCAGCTTATATGATTTTTCCCTTTATGCTGAGCAGAGCAGTCAACCGCTCCTTTGACCCCAATGACATTACACCTGCTATTTTTAGCACCATTATCGTGTATGGAGTGGTAGTAAGGATCGCTGATCAAGTGGAACGATGAGACAACCGAATATTGGTCGGAGCGTTCGATTCCTAAAGCAGGTTGGCGACAGCCAGTTCGCCCAGGCATTTGCCCAGAGCGCGTAAATCCGCAGAAAAGTCCGCCGGCGTTAGCTGGCGGGTATCAAATGTATTACATCCAGCGACCGGTGGGCAAGAGTATGACGACGCTCAGAAGAAATAGGTGCCTCGTGCTTGGGTGGTTGCTCCGCCCAAGTCGGGCGGGTCCCTGGCACCTCTATAAATCGCACTCAACTCATTCACCCATATCTCTCCTTTCCAAACGCTTTCCTACTGATCTCCAAGTCGCCCTAGGTCCGAGTTATGGAAATTCAAGCAACCTCCCGCATCTGAGTACGGCCCGCCCATTTGAGGCGTCTCCCCCCTTTCGCCCACTGACCCCCTCTAGGCTTCAACCTACTTGTCCCTGTTGGATATGCTGCTCAGCAGTTCATGAGTTCATGAGTTGTTGACTTTTGCTTTTGCTCCGGATGACTGCTCAACACGGCTTGCACACAAATGGGCCGTCCACCTCACTTCAGCAGTGGAGCTCCTGCATTCCTTGCTCACCTTTTGCGGTGTCAAGAAGGCTCTAGAAAAGTTTTAAACCGATTTTTTTTCGTTTGGCCCCGCCCACCTCGCCGCACCGGCACCGCACACAACGGGTATGCGGCGCACTTCTCAACCGTAACCCAGTCGCTGACTTCCGTATCTAGAGTGCTCTGGAACAGGAAATCTTTTTTTCGACAAGAGTACCGTCATGTTTGATGGCCACCGGCTCCTAGCCAGGTCGACCTAGTCTCAGCGCGAGAAAGATTCATGATCGCTCTAAAAGCTCGAGTACCTGGCTGTGCTGGGCTGTAGAGGATACTCATTCGCGACCTCAAAAAGCTCCAAAAACACATATCTCGCTGAAAACTGAGTCGAAGTGTAGCTGTTTAAATCATAATCGATTTGTCGCGAGTGTGAGCCGTGTATTAACGCTCCTCCGGCAGACGTGGTGGAAAAAAAAAAAAAAAGGTGTAACTTCTGGATTAAGGTAAGTTTGGTCCATGCAAGGTTTGTTGAGAGTGTTGGAAGGTCGATACGCGCGATTCGTTTGAATGTATGCTAGTCTCAGGAGTACTTACGCAGTTCATGCGCTAAACTACTGATACTACTAATCGATTGTTTTTGAAATTTTGTTGTGTTGCTTACATCCGTGTCCTCTGCATCTTTCCGTCCGCTTCATCAAACTTAGCGATGACAGTTTTGTGCTGTTTGGTGCTTACCGTCTCTGTATTTACGACCGCCCCTTCCTCTCCCCAGCGGCTAAATACGATCCCTCGCTTTGTTTCGCACAACGATGCTGCATCATGATTGGAGGAGAGTTTGACCTTCTCCAACCTCGCGGGCCTTGGCTCCTCTCCAGCTTTTCCTGAAGGGCGTAGGACTTCAGGGCTTCAGGACTTGGATGTTCCTTCGTTTCATCAGACCAGCGACCTCTCGAGATTTTCCGGTCAGCGATGTTCAGAGTCGCCGCTTGATTTAGCTTCCTCAGGCGAAGTCGTTCGCGCCTTGGTTGCCCTCAGCATACGGACAAACAGACTCGAGGAGGGCTCGCGCGTCCTTTCGCGGGTAACGTCCTAGCATCAGCACTGCTTCTTTTGCGACGTTCAAACATATTTGTTGTGACGGGGTTCCCCATTCAGTCGGCCTGCCAGCCTGGGCCTGACGAACGTATCGCCACAATTTTTTTGCAATTTTAGCAATGCACAGTCTCTGCATCGGCTGGGATTGAACTCATGGTGGTTGCGAACATAAGCCCACATTCTCAAGCACTCGGCTATCTCTCTCTGCCTCCCTACTAGTTGAGACTCTGACCTGCTAACCTGAGGCACCTTACCAAAATGTGGGAGCTTCTGCGAAGTGGGGGAGGCCCTTATAGTATACGTGGCCTATTAGCCAAAAAAGGAAGTTTTGAGAAAAAGGGTGAAAAGACGCAAAAGTGGGCGGAGTCACCTTTGTGTCTGTGCGTCGACCCCTTTTTAAGTAGTGTGTGCTTGCGTAATAGCAGATGCAAAAGTTACAAAATGAAATCAAAAAACCACTGGCGCGCTGGAAGTGACGTGGGCTGTTGGGCAGAATGTGGAGTAGGTGCCTAGCTAGTGAGGGCAGCTGTCCATTCTGGTGTGGCCAAATCGATTTGAAAGTGTTGAGGATTGGTTCCAGTGTTGAAATTCCGATCCAAAATTGATATATGGTAATATGCCACTTAGTTCTTTGACGAGGGTTTTCGAAAACATCACAGTTTCGGATCAATTCGGATTCCTGGTTTCACGTACATTGCAGAACTAACCTCTACGCAACCAAGCAAACTTTATCTCATCATGCAGTTGATACCATATCGGGACTTCCCACTTGAACCTAAACGCTTTGATATAGTTTGGCAAGTGAACGAACAGGATTGCCCTCCCTCATCCCTTTTATAACGAGACTGTGTGATTTCAAAGCAGGAGGAGTTGAGAGTGTGCACTGTTACCAGTGGGAATCCCATCTGAAGTAACTGGAACTGGATTATTATGGAAAAGAACTAGAAGTAAGAGTCCGCGACAGAGATGAGAAGGTTCCGTAGGCGAAATATATATATCCAGCAAGTCGCATTCGCTAGACTTGGAGGGCACCAGGCTCCTTGTAGCACTAGGGCACATCCTTCCGTAGGGAAAGTTTTTGCAAAATACGAGATAACAGAGCTTCAATATTTTCCTCCTCTGGTACGACCTCTCCATCTCCCGCCCTCTTCTACATCCCCATCTGACCTTGCATCTTTCCACATTCAGCAAACCTCTTGTCCATTTCCAGAGTTTTTTTTACAGAAATTCTCCATTTTTGCTCCGAAGAAATGCGGTCGAGCGAGAAGGGAGGATGGGAGGCGAGGGTAACACACAGTCCACGTGAAACGGGAAATAAAGAGAAAAGTCGGCAACAGAAAAAAAAGACATTTCTCTCTAAGGCAATTAGGACCCCTCCCCTGCATTGACCAAACACTCCACTTGCTGTGTTCCAAACAAGCAGGGAAAATGCGTTAGGAAGTTGTTCGCAATCAACTCGAAAGAAGAAACACAGTGAACTGCAAAGCTAAGCCATCGATATGAGCTCCTTCCTTTCCCGTGTGATGCACTGTCTGAGATGAGCAAAGTTAAAGCGTGCTCTCATTTTCACGAATGGTGCAACCTCTTCAAGATGACCACCTTAAAGGCAGTTGGCACGATGGTTTCCTACTTAGCCTAAAATGCTAGTAGGGCGCTGTATAGTGGGGAAATGGCGAAAGAACGGAGTGAAACGGTCAAAATGCGAAGAAAAAGCCTCCGTTCTCAGTGACTTGTAAATCGATTTCGGACGAGTTTCACCGCTACCGAAGATACGGCTGCATATGTGTACCCATGTATGCATGCAGCATCACGGCCGCTTCATACCAATCCCTTCGCTTCATAATTTGCTTAGCAAATGAATGAATACGAGCGTCAGGAACGGTCGTCCATTTGTGGGCGGGCGGGCGTGGCGGGCGTTTGGGACGTAAAGTTGTGGCTTGATAGGGCCCTTATAAGGGCACCTTCCTCGGGGAAACCGCTATGCAGCGCCTGCCCAGGGTCGCGGAATTCTATCCTGCCAGGAGTATTGATCCTAGTCGTCTTGGGGGATTTATCGTGCCAACTGCCTTTAAGGAAAGAATTAGCGAGAGGATTTGTTATGTGTGATCGATGAGTAGTATGCTATTTCCAATCTTTCTTTCTGCATTTACGTTTACAATAGCCCAGTGTTTAATTTTCAAATTTTTCGTGCTACTCGCTCAAAGAAAGAAAGAACGCATGGCAAAGCTAGGTCGGCACAGGCGAAGCCGGGCCCGCTTTCAAGAAGGAGGAGCGCTCGGCGTAGTTG